ACCAAAAAGCAAAAAAAAAAAAAAAAAAAAAAAAAAAAAAGCAGCAGCAAAGTATTTCATTTCTGTCAACGTCGCAATAGAATGGAGAGAAATCTCGAAGCTTCTACTTTGTGCATGGTTGTCTGAAATCCATTCCTCAAGCAGAAACACATGTCTAAGATCAACAAGAGCAGAACAGAAGCTTGTACTTCGTGAATGTCTGAAATGCCTTGGTTCTTCTAAAGTGAAAGTAGATTTGTTTTGTCGTTATACCATTCCATTCACATTTTTTTTTATTTTTTTAAGCAAAGAATTGGAAATAAATCATTGATCTTTCCATTGACTACTCACAACTTATTCGTGTTAAGTTTCTTGTGCTCCATTTGTAAGAAATTTATTAATTATTAATTTAACGTTTACTTAAATCAAAATGCACCAGATGTCGTTTCGTTCCCGAGAGAAAGCGACAAATTTTTTTTTTTTTTTTAATTGAAGTTCCCCGTGATTCTGTCTTCACACTCACACACCCATACTTACACACCAACACACATCTGGTGATTCGAACCTCAACTTAAGATTAGGATGGAGAGAGGCTTACATCCAAAAGGCGACAGGTTTTTTCAACTACAGGGATGACGCTTATTTTACATATGGTTAAACAAAATGTGCATCAAACCGACGACGTGCCGTTTTATTACCCTCAGGACACGACGTATTATTTAGATAACGTTTCTTTAAAGTAAAACGACATGTCATTCCACCAAGTAAATAAAACATGAACTCTAAACCAGAAGAAGAAAAGAGAGAGAGAGAAGGAAAAAAAAAAAAAAAAAAAAAAAAAAAAAAAAAAAAAAAAAAAAAAAAAAAAAAAAAAAAAAAAAAAAAGAAGGGGGAAAGCGAAGCAAAGCAGACAAGAAATTGGAAGAGGAAACTAAAATGTGGTAAAAGTAAGAAAAACAATGAATAAATATAAGATCGTCTGATTTATTTATCAAAGAAATAAAGAAATTGTCTACTCTGGTAAAAAAAAAAAAAAAAACTAGTTTTTTGACAAAGCCAAAACTTGAAAATTACAAAATTTTTGCAACAGCAGCTCACCCCTGCTAGTTAAATAGGAATATAGAAGGAAAAAAAACAACGAAAAAATAATGTTTATTCTTCTCAAAATTGTAAATCCTGTTTTTTGGCAGCACACGAAAAGACTTGTCAGCCGCCTCAAATGCGACTTGAGTCCCTTCCAAAAATGAAGCGCCTTGCCCAGTCCGAAACCACCAATGCTCTGTTGCGCCAGCTCACTTGTTTGCTGAAACAGTAATAAGAAACAACCATACACATTATTGAAGAAACCTTGATATTTATTCTTCCAATATAAAACCATATATATATATTTTTTTTTTTGCTTTTGGCTATGAAAAAGAGAAACAAACTTACCTTGCATAGACAGAATACCAGAGCCACTGGGAGCTTTGGCCAATGGACACCCAATCTCCGGGAAGTTGTGCAGCTGTTTGCTCTCCCCCCAGTGGAGCAAATTGTCCAAGATGTTTGTACCTTTCAAATAAAATTATACATGAATCAATAATCTTTGCGTTATAGTTCCATTATCGTTTTAGATGTTAGCCAGATCAAATTGTGAATTAATAACATGGAGTAAAGTGCAAAAAGAGATCCCATTATCTGCTCTTGACAGTTAAACCTTCATCTACCAAGTTTAAGTAATAGTAACGATATTTTCAATACGAGGCAACTGAGAATGACCCATATATAGAGTCATGTACCTAAAGGGACGGAATCTGTGACGACCAGATCCTCTGAACCTGAGAGGACCCTCTGGATTCTTTTCACACTCTTCCATGCGGTTAAAGCATTTAGCAAGGTAAACACCTTGTTGGGCTGCAACCTGAAACATCATCCAGAGGCACAAAAGACATATAGTGAGTCCGATCGTTTTCTTCATGCAAAGGGGGGAAAAACATGTTCATTTGACTTCAAAAAGTGGTGTTGGAATATCAAGGGGGTAAAAAGGAAATGATGTTTTTAGTACCTGAGCTGTAGCTGGGAGATTTTTCATCTGGGAATCCACTTGGGAAAGAGCTGATTTGAGTTCTTCGATACTCAGTTCTATGGATTCTTTTGCAACGTCTCCTTTTGATTCCTTCAAAAGGTCAGCGATGTCGCGCATCTGCTTGTTCTTCAGGTAAAGCTCCACTTGAGGGTATCTTTCACATATGTCAGCAATAACTTCTTGAAATTCTTTAACTGTGAGTGTTCCTGATTTGTCCTTGTCTGCCTTGATGAATATTGCGGAAATATCTTCCTGAAAAACCATCAAGCAATCTTCTTTAGAACTTTTTTATCTGTTTTTGTTTTTTTTTTTTTTTTTTTTTTTTTTTTTTTTTTTTTTTTTTAAAGAAGTAACGCCCAAAATTTAGAGGATGTCTGAATATTTACAAGGGTATGGGACTTGGTTTCATGAGACAATCAATTATTAAAGCCTACAACGTGAGGAAAAAAAAAATCATTGCCATAAGTTTGTGAACAATTTCTTCACAAAAAGCTTTTCTTTAATAAAATGTCTTCTTTTTTCTTTTCAAAAAAAAAAAAAAAAGTTTCTTCACGAAAAGCAGTACAAGGATACTAGGAAGTGTATTTCTAAGGAGTTGGCCTGAACAAAATCATCGAGTTTCTTTGTTTACTTGAAATCATTTTTCCGTCAAATATATATGACTCCTAGGATCAATGCTTTTGAAAACAGGAAGGAATACAACAGAGTTTGATAGTAAAATAAAAATGCAACAGTTGTGTTCAAAATTCACACAGAAACTTGAAAACTAACAATCAACAGGATAAATATTCCTGAAGAAGAAACAGGATAACAATCAACAGGATAACTCCCCAAACAGTCAAATGTAGTACAAAGTGAGAAGAAACAAGAGCAAGTACCATGACTTTACGCTGATTGATGGTAGCACAATCACCAAGAGCATAAACATTGTCACATCCCTCCACTCGCAGCCATTCATCAGTTGCTAAAGCTCGCCTATTAGCCTGTGGTTATGTAAACACAGACTCGTTTAGTGAGTTCAAAGATGTCTAATTGAAGTTTATGGACCACTTTACGGATAAAGTTATAACATATATAAGAAGAGCAGTTTTTAGAGAACTGCAGTAACACACCTGGCCAACTTGCGTCATAAAATCTTTTACAACAGGGCGAGTTCCTATACCAGTTGACCAGAGAGCCATTCCATAAGGTATAGAAGAAATTTCCCCAGTTTTCATTTCTTTGGTAGTAATTTCTTTATCAGATACTTTGACAACCATAGATCCAGTTTTCACATCAATGCCCTCTCTTTGAAACTTTCCTTCAGCAAAAGCTGTAATTCTTTTGTCAAACCTGCAAAAGCATGAGAAGTATTGTAAGATCCACACAATCGTATTACTTTCTTTCTCAAAATCTTTTCCACTTCCTTTTTACAGTCAATCAGGTTTTTGTTCAAGATTCATCTACTATCTGCAATAGAAGAAATAGTACATATGTTCCACCAAAATGGGAATTGGCTAGACTACATATTTGTAATGAACTCGAGAAACATGCTCTAGAAAAATAAAGAAGAAATTCATCATTTAAATGACAAAAAACTACTCTAAAATAAATACGAAAGGCTTCCAGATGCCAAAGTTTACTTACATGTTAAGAATGTGATCTCCTGCCTCCAGAAGTGTTATTTTGACTAAATCTTTTACCCCTGGATACAGTCCAACCAAATCCTCATTGACAAAATCATGAAGCTCTGCAGCAAACTCCACACCAGTTGGGCCGCCACCAACAACAGCAAAATGAAGAATTCTCTTCTTCTCTTCAGCACTCACTGTTGGCAGGCTTGCCCTTTCGAAGCAGTCAATAACAGTTCTTCTAATCTTTTGAGCATCTTCTACTTCCTGCATGAAAAATTCCCTAAGCTGAATATGGCAACGAAGACGCGAGCATACAGGACCAAATGGGTTACCGTGACCAATTTACCAAAAGCAATAAATTTATTATTATTACCTAATAATGTTCATGAGTTTGTTATTTATCTAGAATCCAATATATAAGAAAAATCATTTGCAGGCAGGCCGGGTACAACATATTAGAATCCAGTATATAGATTAATACAAACATAGGGGTAAAAAGAATGGGAAGGAATCAAAACCTTCAAGAAATGGCAGTTCTCTACAACCCCAGGAGTGTTGAATGTGTTAACATTGGCTCCCATAGCTATTACAAGGAAATCATAGTCCACAACGAATTCTTCTTGCCCATTCAAATTGTTGTTCTGATTAGACCGGCAGTATACTTTCTTGTTTTTTGCATCAATTTTGATACACTCGGCTTCACAGAACTGAACATCTACACTTTTCTGCTTCACAAAAATGAAGAGCACTCGCCAGTTAACATATAATTGTGTGGTAAAAATCAAATTTTCCTATTCCTTAAAATTCCTAACCATAACTACTTGATAAATTTATCTGAAGTCAAAAAGATTCTGCGTCCCTTGATTTGTCACTACCTTCCTGACAATGTTGCGAATAGGCTCTACAATGCTGCGAGGTTCGACTGTACCACATGTAACACTTGGAAGCAAAGGGGTAAACGCAAAATAATTACGTGGGGAAACAACTTGAACCTCGTATGAGGGACTTTTCAGATTCCTGAGGAAACTTGTTCCTGCCCAACCTGTCCCAAGTACCACCACTTTCTTTTTCTTGGAAACGAAATCCACCTCAGATGACGAGTTTGTGATTTGCGGACTGTTCACTTGGTTTGCCTCAGCATATGCCACAAGTCCTCCTCCACTGCAAACACAAAAGCCAAATGAATACCACAAGCCAAAGTAAGTTTACGAGAAATAATACAAATTATATCATGTTAAGGAATATCTCAAGAAAGATCACAGAAAAAGAAAAGAACTTGTTACACATTTTCTATCAAAGGGAGTTTCCCAACCAAAGGTGTAAAGGTCTTGGGACAAACAAGATGAGTGCATAGGATATTCTAAGGATTAAATGCTCTGTTACTTCACAAAATTACAAAGTAATAGCATGTCATAAATTTAAGACCCGGTGCATGATTCAAAAAAATAATCACTTTGTTCATCATCCACCAATTCAAGATGATATTTCCATCAACATAATCTGAAAAATTATGAGAAAACAGATTTTTTTTCCCCAAAAAAAGCGATGTAAAACAAATTGGAAATGAATTTTGCAATATATAGTTCGTCATTTGGCTTGTGAGATTTAAGCTTCCATGATTCAATGCAAGGAAAAACAACATGACTAAACAATAGCAAAATAATAACGGGTAGATCTAATGCTCTTAGAAAGCATTGCAAATCTGAGATATCGTATTCCAAAGATTAAACAACTGTAAATAAAACAAATCATAATTGCAATCACTTTTGACAAAGTCAAAAAATCAAATCTGGACTAACAACATAAAACCAACCCCCTCCCCCCCCCCCCCCCAAAAAAAAACAGGAAAAAAAAAAAAAACGGAGAGAGAACTTGATCAAACAGAGAGCAAAAAGTAATCAGAAACAGAACTTCAATCAAACAGGACAAAAAAGAAAAAAAAAAAAAAACGCATAGATGAATACCTGACGGTGACGACAACGAGAAGCTTCGAAAGAGAAGGATTGTCGCGGAAAACTCTAGAAACTCTCTGGAAAATAGTGAAAGAACCCCTCATTTTCGGCTCCTGAGATCTAGAAGCCAATTGGCGAAACACAGAAACTATAAGAGGAGGAAATGCATCTAGAGAGAGAAAAGAAGTTGTTATATAGTTAGGTATATTTCATATGTAATGCACGTAAATGAAAAAAGGAGAGAGAGAGACGGGCGAGGAAGAACCAAGAACGTGACGCGAATTCTGACGGCTCCTTCCACATTTGTGGGTTTGCCGGCGAGTTTGCCTTTCTTGACTTGGCGCGCAAGAAAAACACGACACGTGTACATTCAAGCACGAGCCTGGGAGGCGTCTTGTCTCCGGAATCCGTTGACACGTCTGAGGTCCGGGCCCGCATGCCACGGGCTTCCCTTGATCATTCGTCTTGAACTCATGATCCTACGGTCAGCGGCTGGTCTGACGAAATAATCCAATTTTTTCGGAAAAGAAAAAAAACAAAAGGGCAACGTGGTTGTTTCTTAAATTACAAAATAAGCTACATATCATCCTTGCGTAATAACCAACTGTGAGGTTGGAAATGTAATTTTCACAACAACAAAAAAGGCCCGTTTACTTCGCTAATTCAAGTTTGTAATTCGAGTTAAGATAAGATTTTATGTGAAAATTTTTTACTGTAGCAAAAAAATTAGATGTGATTATTTCTGAGAACTTTTTACTGTAACAAAACTCAAATTCTAAACTCGAATTGGTAAAGTGAACGGGCCTAAAGTTAATTCCACATGGTCTTTGAGGTTATACTCAATTTCATTTTAATTCATGAGTTTTTAAACGTCGCATAAACAGTCTTAAAATTGTATGTTATTTCAGTTTCAGTCATTCTATTAACTAAGCGTTAAAATTTAATAAAATATATGTAAATTAGAGTTTAAAATTAAAAACAGTTTAAATTTTATGTCTATTTATAAATATTAACTTTTGGTTTTTTATATTGTTTGTCACTGAATTTTAATATTTTCAATTTTAGTCCATAATTTCTACGAATGTAGCTAAATATTTCGAACTAAACTAATAGAATGACCGAAATTAAAACAAAATAAAACATCAAAGACTAATTTTACGACGTTTAAAAAATCAGAGATTAAAATGTAATTAAAGCTAAATTTCATAAACTATTTGTGAGATTCACCCAAAAAAAAATATACATATTTGTTTGGGATTAAATATACTTGAATAAAATGATTTCCTTGTGTTTGGTATTAGAGTATGAAAATGGCAAAATGATAGGTGAGATTTCATGCTTTGTGCTCTGACTTGACTTTACAAGCATGCATGTTTTTATTATTGGTCCTTTGTTGAACATTCAAAAGAGAATAATGATTTGATTAAGAAATTAGTGCCCAAAATTAAAAGGAAAAGACGTAATAAGAATGTTCAAAACATTTCCAAGAAAAGAGGGCGCCTTTGAAAGTTCGTCATGTTATTTTCATTTTTCTATAGAACACAAAGGTGGTATTGAAGTGTGAGGTTTTAAGATGTGAATTGAAATTGAAAAAGGAAAAAAAAAATGGAATGGGAAGAAAAGGAAACTGAATTGAGTGGGTTTTAAGAAAAGCAAACAACAAATAAAACACACCTTTTTTTATAATAATTTAAGTAAAATGACAACTTTGGACTTTGACATCACATGGCTTGACCCGAAAACACACCTGTACATAAGCAGGTTAAAATAATATTAGAGCAAAATTCAGAACTTTTCAAACCCTTTATTTCACTATTTGAGTTTAAAATTTAAATTTTATTACAGTAAAAAGTTTTCAAAAATAGTTACATTAAATTTTTTTTGTTACAATAAAAAATTTTCACATAAAATTATTTCTCAACTCAAATTAAAAATTTAAATCAACGAACTAAACGTGTCATTGAGTTTCCACCGAAGTCTAACAACTTCAACCAAAATGATGCAATATTTACCGGTCTTTTTACACCGAGAAAGAGAAAGGGCAAAGAAATGATAAAAATGAGAAGCACATTAAAAGAGGGTCGGTGCACTGCTCGAGTGAACTTGATCTGGAATTTTCTGGCATGACTTTCTAGAAGAATGCTAGTCTGTTGGATTGGATCTAGATTTTTTGCGCTGCTTTTGCCCTTTAATCCTTTTATTAGTGTCATTTCCCACATGGTCACATAACTTGTTTCATTCAAATAAGACCGTGGTTACTGGGGACCCCAAATCCCCGCGTTTTTTTTTTTCTCTTTTTTAATAGGTTGTGCTAATGGTTGTCTTTAATATCTAAGAGGAACTTCAACTATCTTAATTATTTTATATTTTTAACTAAAATAGTTAACGATTTAGTTAGAATTTAGTTTTTTTTTTACTCCAACCGTTAGCTAAATAGTTAATTATTTTAGAGAATTTATTTCATACTAACTAAATATAACTAACAAAAAGTGGCTAGCCATTTAATTTTTTGTATTATTTTATTTTTTCAAACCATAATGTAAAGGTTCTTTCTAAATGTAATCAAGTTATTTATATTTTAAAACTCAATAAATATTAAGATAATCTATATTTAGTTAAAATAAAGTATGGTTAAAGTGTACCACCTAAAAATTACTAACTAAAATAATTTTCTAATTATTTTAGTTAAAATTTAACTAAAATTAAAAGAGTTTCTTAAGAAATGCTCTAGGAGAATATTCTAACTGAAGCATGCCACAGAAAATTAATAAACAATCTCCTGAATAAGCAAGTTATGAAGGAAAGCGAAACCTTCAAAGTTACTTTCTATTACTGTGCGTGCGATTGGAACATCTATGTACGTCAATATGTAATATGAAAAGAGTTGAAATATGTTTTTTTTTCCTGATGAAAAGAGTTGAAATATCTTTGTGGTTTTAGCCAAGCAATTATTTTATCACGTTTAGTTCATGGGTTCAAAATTATTTTTAATTTACGTGTATTTTTTATGAAAAAAATACTGTAACAAATTACGAATTATAATCCGAATCATGATATAAATTCTTGCTCTAAACGCATAATAACTTTAAGGTCCAAAGTTGATAATAAGTTAAAAGAAACCTGAGTAAAAAGTTCAAGTTAAAAGAAATAATAATTAAAGTTGCTAATGAAAATGCTTTTACAACGTGTTTCTTTCCAAGTGAATTAGAGGAACAACACTTTTAGGTTATGTTTAGTAACATGATAAGAAGAAAAGAAAGACATATTCTAAATGAAGAAAATAAAGGTAAAAGAGAACATCTTTATCTATTGTGTTTGGTATAAATTCCATACTCTCCATTCTTAGAGAGATTGAAATTGGGGTAAACAACAATGTCTATCAAAATCCTTTCACTAATCGCCTGTGCTTTTTTATCATTCCATTTTCTTCTTTTACTAAACGAGTTCTTAGATAATTTCTCTTTAGATATTCCGCTTATATGAAAAGGTTTAAAAATAATTTAACAATATATAAAAGAGTCAAAACTCTTTTCTATGATGTTGTCACGTGTCAGCCCTTCCACTTAACTCATTTTTTTTAATCTTATTTTTTGTTATTTTTTTACATTTTAATTTTTTTGTGTGTTTTTTAAAAATATATTGTTCTTCACTTTACTTCTATGAGAGTAATTTTTCCACATGTGTTCTTATTTATTTTTAGTTGGTTAAAATAATTTTCTTCAAATGTATTCCTACTTAATTTTTTGTCAATTGTTATCTTTACACATATTTTTTTTTAAATAACTTTAAAAATCCTTAAATGATTGTGTAAATAAATTTCTCATTATTCGGTAAATAATAAATTCTTCAAATATCTCCAACATAATAATACGTGCAGATCACGTTATGAAACTAGTTTACAAATAAATGTGGCACAAGATCAGCAAAAAAAAAATAAGAATAATTGTGGCACAAGTGAATAACTTCTAAAGTGGTACCGGTCCTAACGTACACGTCTTTTCAACACTAGTAGGCTTGCATTCTCTTTGAAGTAGGGATAATCTTAACAAATATCGTTTTTATTGAAATAGGGAAGATCATGGGAGAAATTTTGGGCAATATTCTCCAACCAGAAAGTGCGACATCAACCCCATCGCGAGACTCCGCTCCAAAATATATATATGTGTGTGTGTGTGTTTTAAAGTGTGAAAAGTATTGATCATGCGTGCCTGAATTTTATTTTGTGTTGCTATTTTTATCAACACATACTTAATTGCATAATATCGTACACTTGATTAAAACTCATTATCCTTTTGCAGCGTTTTTAAATGTTATGAAGAGCTATTCATTATAAAAAAAAAAAGTTCGAAAACTAAACTTGTCACCTAATAATCCATGGACAAATGAGTTAACAACCGAAGATTAATTTGAAAATCTAATTAGAGTGTGGCATGTTCTTTTGGAGTGTGATTTGAGTGTAATTTTTAAGTTGAGTTTGAGTTATAACTTAAGTTGAAGTTGTAACTTGAATAAAGTTGAGTAAAGTTGAATAAAGTTAGAACTTAAAAGAACGTAAATTTGAATAAAGTTGTAACTTGAGTTTAAATTTTTTCTGAATTTTGTTACAAAAGAATAACTCCCGAGATTTTCCGTGTGGCTTCCCACCGTTTCCTTGCAAGATCTTTATGAAAGAAAACAAACTGTAGAATGCAATACTAACAGCAGACTGGCTCAGTCAATGGAGCAAAAACAAGCAAGCCAAAGTGGACCTTAAGGCATAAGATGTGGAATTTTCCATGTCTGAATGCAAAATATAGTACAAGAAGTAATATCATTTTCAGTATTAGTGCTGGCTAGTCTTTTGACACTTGGAATTCCTCTTTCATAGGCCAATTGGGGTATGTGGCCAGTGAAATATGAAGAAGACAAAACATACCAATCTGGATCATATGTAGATTGATATGTAGCTTATTTAGATGTTTTCAGATTTTCATATGTAGCAATCTGGATCTACAAGCCAGTTCAATGTGTAAATATGGAAAATCACCTTCTATTTATGTTTAACAAAGGACCTCAAATTTATGTCCAAATATTTAGTATAATCAAAAGCGTTTAAGTCAACCTTTTAGTCTAATCAAAATTTTGTCCTTGGCATATTCCGTCTTTTCTTACTGCATGCGTTTTGTTTGGATTAAAGAAAGAGCCAGTAGCTTTTTGGAACTGCATGCAATGTCGTTGCCCCTAATTAAAAAAGAATTTGACCAATCAAAAGGTAAATGGATCTTCCAACAATCTACTTTCAAAGGTTTC